CGTTGCTATATTCTTCTTCAAGTTTACAAACCTTAACATACACCTATGCATCTAAGCTTTGGTCATCCTCTATATATTCAGCCTTTTTGTTGAACCATAGTAGCTACCTAGGTGGATGGATGGAGGCAATCGACAGAAAGTTCTGGACCGAGGTTTAGTGGTTTTTTGCACCCAAGACTAGACGAAATAAAGTTGGTTATACGCTCTAGTAATCAATCAATGTACAATAGCCTCTTTCTAGGCTTTCGAAACAGTATATATTATGGGCCTGGTTAATTTCGTCTTGGATTGAATGTGTTATCGGCATATTTTTTTCAAACCTGGTGGCTATGAGGACAGATACTCAACGATGACATTGGGTGGCGGTCGCGCTATGTGGCGAACTGATAAAGTTAGAAATATGGACCGTTGGATTCTGACCCAGTGACTCATTGGTATCGTACTGGCCACGGAACCTGAAGGTCGTGGGTTCGATCCCTGGTGGTGTGCGGTTATGGGTGCACGCTGTTGAAGAGTCCTATACTAGGACGAAACAGCTATCCAGTGCTCCTAGGTTTCCAATGCTCCTGCAGTAGATGTCAGTCCATGATGAATAGCAACTTGAGAAATTTCTAAATGCTCACAAACCCCCAAATTCAATATCTGTTTTTACCTAACATTATGTGTGTCTGCTGATCATTGATTACACCGTACGCGCATTGAAAAGATTTGTTCAGTCTTATGTATACAAATCACTTGCTGATAATCATGTGGATGAATGTATGTCTGTTAAAGTCATATGGATTCTACACACTACACGGTTGTTGTTCCGTTGTCTGTCAGCCCTGTAGAAGCGTATTTCCTCTTGTGACATGATACTTTTTGTTTACTCACATTCTTTTACTATCGAAATGTTCCGTGCATACTTGTTGTTTACTATTATGAGACAAATGTGTTGATCACCAGTCCCTGCAACTATTTATCGTGACATGTGTACTTGTTTTTTTCCTAAGATGTTGAACAAAATGTCCTATTATTCTTTTAGTTTACGGTTGATAAACCATATTTGATTTCTTCTTTTCACTAACACCTTTTTTTATTCCTTGTCTAAGGAATATCTTTAGCCTGCTTTCACTTATCCTAATCTTGCGTACACTTCTCCTTTTTGAATGTCTAATAACAAAGTTTGGTAGCGTGAAATTTATACATTTTCACCTTCTTCAGTAAGAATACCTACACTTCTATGATGTACCTCATTGCTTCCTTCATTCTACAAAAGGTCATGCGCTCATGAAGTATTCACTGGTCTTGACGCTCGTGCAATTCAATACTATTGTGTTAATTGGCATTCAGACAGAAAGATAGTATCATTAAGCCTCGTGGCGCACCAGGTATATGAGTTTTATAGCATAGGATGATCAATTTTGCATACGATTTACAAATTGCACAGTCTACGTTGATATTTCTCACAGCTGGAGTAGTTTTGTCAACTGCCCAACGTAGTGCCAACAAGGTTTCCGTTGGAAACCATCCTGCAGGTAAGATCTCCAGAAATGATCTATGATGCAGAAGTATCATGAACTGGCGAAACATACTACTTCGGGAAAACTTGTGTAGTTATAAACCATCCAAACTGATATGTTGATTTGACTTCACCAAGTAGATCAGAGTGTTTAGATCACCGATCTGGTTGGCAAAATCAAATCTGTCAATTAGCTTGAATGGTTTCTAACTAATCAAGTTGTTTGGTAGTAGTATATATTCATAGTTCCATGAACTTGTTCAGTTTTACTGACTTGAAGATGATTGCAACGAGGAAAAAGTTTTCTTTTTGATGAACTCATTCACTTGAATGTACATTCGTAAACATATAGGAGAAACGATAAGATATTTCAGAGTAGATTGCGAGCAACACTTAAAACACGTTGGAGAACAAAGGATAGTTAATTAAAGGTGAAATGAAAATTTATGAATACGATCAAGGGGATAGTAACGCACCACGAATTCACACTGGTAGTCAGGCAAAATCCATGGTGACTGAAGTGAAATAAAAATCTGGCCAGTTGTCGGACCTCGTAGTTCAGTTGGTAAGGCACCGACCGGGAAACTCTGTGGTCGCTGGTTTGAATCCGGCCGCGGTGCAGATTTCCATTTCACCTTCAATCATCACCCAGTATCGATACTGGTCTGCCAAACGACGTCTATCTCAGATAGTCAAAATGAATATATATATATATATATATATATATATATATATATATATCATTTAGAAATAAACAAATGATTACATCATAAGGGTGATCATACCTTTACGATAGTCATACCAAAGAAAGATGTACACTTTTTTTGAAGGAACAATAACAATTTGAACTTTTGAGTTGCTAATGCTGAATGATTATGAGGAACAATTTACGCTGGAAATGTCATGCAGTAAATAATGCTGTTTCACTTCTTGTGTACTATATCCAAGAGACTAATCTAATATTGAATTACATCCTACTACAGTGCCCAAATTCTATACATCTATTGCTCTCTGTCATTGACTAGAAACTGGATAATACTAAATCGCAGATTTTCCTCACATTTTTGTTGTTCTAATTATTTTTCTCGTCCTAACTTGTTTCTCTTTTGTTGGACCACTTTTGATATCCTTCGTTTTGATTATTTAACAGTTTGTTTGTTCTTTTACAATTTCTCTTCTCTGTACACACTTGGTGTAACTATATGGGTGCATACAAATTCACCAGTAGTTACCACATTATTTCTGTATACTAGTATAATTGTAAAAAGTGAGTAATATTTTGGCTATGAGGAAAGAAAAACTGTGATTTGCATCTCTTAGTTTTGCTGATATTCAGTTTTGCATGGTTGTAGACAAAAATAACTTAGTTTGAATGTATGCGACGATTTTTGTTTGGTGATACACTAGAAAAATCCGACTAAGACATTTCATACTTCTAGAATTGATGAGTTTTGTAAATTGAATAAGATTCGTCAACCTACCTAGACGTTATTCGATGCGAATTTTAGTGGTGAATTCGATTTTGTCAGTGAGTACATGTAATATTAAGTTTTCAGAAAATGTGTTTGCCTTTTCTTCCCTTGAGTTTATATACATACGATATTTTCTCGTTAGGCGTAGACGCCGACAAAACACAAAGTCTTCTGAACACTTTGAGCAGAAATTTGAGTATGCTTGGTATGCGTCTCGCTGGCCCATGTTAAGTGCAAGGTGATACTCCAGCCACTCCTAGTGTAGTGATATAGAGTAAAGTGGTGGGATGTGTTGACCACTTCACCTCCTTGGGGAGTTGCATCTGCCGAAACGATCTGGTTGCCGACGGAATCTCAGCTCGAATATAGCAGCTTGTTTGACACTTGCCGACTTGCGAGATATTTGACAATCAAGTGAAGAACGAGTCTAGTGCTCTACAGTCGATTCTGTCGTGTTATGCGGTTGTGAGACATGGTTGTCGAAAGTAGAAGCCATGATGGGATTACAGAGTTTTGATCACAGATGCCTTGATAGGATTGGTGGCATTTGGTGGGATCGCCGCTGTGTACGATCAATATTGAAGTGAGGCGAATGGGTGTAGGCGAGTGGATTGGTGTGGTGGTGATTTTTCATGGACTGAGATGACTTGGACATGTGTTTGACATGCGGATTCACTGCCTACCTCAACGTGCCATGTTATGTGAAGTTGTATTATGTTGGAAGAGTGTTCATGGTGGATAGACTAAGCGGTGTCACTAGTCGATGAAGTCTTTTACTGTTGGTTTGAGTTATTTTGGGTTGATGTAGACTTAGTGTAGTGGTTTGGGTCTTGGAGACGATAGTAATCAGTGTTTGAGGACTGTTGTTGATCTGGGTGGAAATCAGTGATAGTGAGGCGGATGTATTCATTTATTGATATGTTCTGAAGCTTGAGTATTCCGAACAACCTTTATCTTCAAATTGTTTATTCTCTCACACAACTTTTTTTTCTATCCACCTGCATTTGCATACTGCTGTAAAGTGTGACAACTTGAACCGATGCACTTGTGAATAAGGTTCTACGTTGATTTTGTCTGTATTTCCTTGAGTTTCTATTTTGTAGCGTTACATCTACTTGGCTTGTTATTCAGAGAGATAAACTAACCAGCTAGCTAACAATCATTGTTTCACATTGTGACGCTTCAAAATGACTTTTTCAAGGGTGGTAGCCATGCATTGAAATGGACTAAAAAAACGTGATGGAAAGGTTGGGAGGTACGAATCAACAAATAGCAATAATGTGTTTAACATTTCGAATACTTTGAAGTGAATGCATTTGTGATACTGTCATTTACTCTCAGTCAGATTCTCTAATGTCTACCATTATCGGTGTCTGAAAATGAACTATACTCAGTACTTTCCGTAATAGAGCATTGTATTTTAATGTATCATCTTCATACTCTTTCCTACATTATGACCAGTCGATCATTTTTCCTACCTTTTCCAAAGCTGCTCATTTGTCGGTCCACTTTACTTATAGTGTATTAATGTGCTCAATTTCAAGCAAGATGGGAATCCCTATTTGCATACGCACGTGTACTGACTCATTTCTGTCGACTGCTTAGTGAGTAAAAGCTCTCCATTCAGATCTATAATCTTTTGCTTTGTATTCATCTGGCGTTTTTCAGTTGTTGGCATCTGAAAGATTTGGTCAGTAGCCCCGCATAAACCGCAAAACGTGACATATCTTAAAAGTATTTCCTTTATGAACAGAATGTTTTGGTCTCACAATTCTCCGTTGATTTGATCTATATGAGTTAATTCAGTTAGTAACTCTAACCTCTTCAATTTACTTGGCGACTAGCAGCGTAAAATCCGGAGATCGAGCCGTGAAATTGCAAATATCAGCAAATAACTTAATTATGTTGTGATCTTGTTGTATTCCTACATAATTCTATAAGTATTATGAAGTAAGTATTATGAAACAAGAAACATGTTTATGGTTATTTAAGCGTTGGTCTTCGTACAGTTTCTTTTTTTTTTACAGCTGATTTCAACATTATGATCCTCAGTTCAAATGCATGGCCATTTCAAGCACAAGCACCGTTTTCTATCCCTCCAGAGGTATGTCTTATTCTGAAATGTAATCACGGTTCTACATTGTAATTAACTGCGATTTAAAAAAAATATTCTATCTAAACCCTTCCAATGATACTAAAATTTCCCATTTTAGTATGTTTTAAAAAAAAAGTTCAATGATCCCTTTTCTCACCAAAGCTTATACTTTATCTAACGTTATACTCATTGGGATTAGCTAACTGAGTTCCGTACTGATACAGTTGAGTAGATTGATTATTTTAGAACTATGCAGATTCTAACTGTTCCATATTTCGGTATGGTTATTTTTTGTTGATATTGCTTGTGCATCTACGTCGCTGGTTGGACGAAACTGATCGGCCACTATTGGTATATGGGTTCCTGTGTGGATACCTCGACATTGCCAGTATTTTCACATTTTTATATTAGTAATGGATAGTAGGCAGCAGTGGAATCCAGGATGCGCGTTTCATCCTATTTAAGACGCGCTAGTTGGAAGTACGTACACCCCGGTGGTTGGTGTTGTTCCCTCCTGAAACTCAAACCAACGAACAACCATTCCAAACACCGGTTTTATTTACTAGATCACTGAGTCACAATACGGAGGGCAACATCTCTCACTGGATGACAGTTAAGTCTAGCTGACGAGTTCTAGATAGGACGAAACGCGTGTTCTTGATTCTGTTAGCCACTATCCTTAAATAATGTCAAATTGGTTTTGCTCATCCTAATGTTAAATCTGTAGGTAGAACGGATTAAATAGTTGGTCTGTAAATATGATACCTGGTAGTTATTTATAGTAATGATGGGGAGAAAAGTTTCAGTTGTCTATGATATTTCACCACCCACCAATTTTCATTATTCGTATAATTTATTTAGTAGGCATTCACAACCAGTTCCTGTTTACTTCCTCCACGAAAAATATAAGCATTCGAGATATACTTTAATGTTCTACGTAGACCACTCGTCTGAGTGAATCACACAAAATGATAGTATGTAAATGTGAATGTACACTTAGATTTCGTATTTCATTATCATGATTGAAATTTTCCAATACACTGAAAATTTCATTCTTGATGTACTTCACTGCTGATCTTTGATAGTTAACTCTACAGAATATAGAATATCTTTCAGAGTGGAGTTGTTTCATTGGTTTAGACGCTCGACTTCCAACCAATGGGTTTACGACTATATTCTCACTCCATCAACCGAGGTCTAGGCAGCCAGGTTGTATCATTAGCTGCCCCCACACAATAAGTGTATCTCATTGCCTACTGTATGAATCTGGACTTGGTCGCTGAATGCATCTCATTGTCTTCTGTACTTACTACTTTTTGGTTTCAGTTACTGTATCAACCCTTGTTGTAACCTATTGACAATGTTGTAACATTAAGCTCATCATGATGATTTTAGTTTTTAGTCGTGGTTGACGGATCTATACGGTTGCGCATTATATTGTTTTATAGATTATATTTCCTGAGACATAGCTTCACCTTTTGTTACCGTTTCTTTCTTTGAAGTTGGAACAGTGTCATAGTACCTTTCTTGCTTTCTACCATGAACACCATACTGGTCGCAAACTGACATGGTGCTATCATTTGTCTCGTGGTGAAGTTGTTACCAACTATACTAAGACCAGATATATATTTCAGGTACGTTATTTACTAAGCATTGAATACTGTAGTCCCGACTTACACATTTTGTATGTGATTGAATTTTTCACTTAAAACGCATACTTATACTTCTAGAAATGCTGGAATCGATTTTTAAGTATAACTAATTATTTGATCGCTGGATAAGTTTGCTATCTTATCAGGTTTTAGTAGATCCTTCGACTTAGCAGGCGTTGAAACCTATCGAAATTGAGGTCATAGTTATCACTCGTTTAATGTATGTCTTCTTAAGTGACTGTAAGCAACTCTTCTCAAAATTGTTTCTCTTTCAGCACGATGCATAAGTCACCTTTTATATTGCACACATCATGTTTCAATTGATAAAATGACAGTTATATTTGTGTCAGCTGTTTGCATGTTCGTTTATTTTTCAGTCTTAAGTGTTATGAATAATAGGCCAGATGGCAGTCTTTACAGTCTATCATAGTCTACTTTCACTTTCACTGAAGAAGTCACTACCATTTGCTTGGGTAACGGATTCCAGTCGCTGACCACCCGTTGAGATAATACCGGTTGAACATGAACTTTATTCAACCACAACTTTCACACCATGCCATGATAACCAATGAAATAATCATTACCTGAAGAAGCGGAATGATTGAAGGGGTCATCACTCAAATCTCATTCAAGGTACAGTATATCAATATCTGACCACTCTTGTTCTTACGATATGGTAGACTGTAAAGGTTTAGCTATTCTAATTACCTTTCATGGGAGAGAGATAATGGTCCTGTCGGTAACTTAGTGTTTTTGGACGTGTTCAAGCATACTCACTCCTTTCTTGAAGCAAAGATCTGGTGCCTTTATGCAATATTCTGTGTAAATCTTGTGCATTTAGGATATACTGGTTTTCGATATATCTTCATTCAGGTATCTAAAGACCCTTAGAAAGGTTCATAGCATTCAAGGTGCTTTAACTGTAGCCATATTTCAGTATGCTAACTTTTTCAAATCATAGCTATCAGTGAATTCTATATCTTTTTGATTAACACATTCATCCACTTCACTCTCTATTGGTGCCCTGGCTAACACTAAAGAGTTTAGTGGTTGGGTACGTTGACTACTTTGTTACCTGGGAAGTCATATCAATCCTGGCGGTTCAGTAGCCGACGAAATTTCTTTACGAACCCAAAAAGTTCGATTAGCTTTTGCCAACTTACGGCATCTGTAGCGCCACCGCGATATCTGATTGCCTACTAAGGGTCGAGTGTATTACGCTGCAGTCCACTCTGTTCTGCTGTGTGGCTGGGAAATATGCCTCTTTAAGATGGAAGACACGAGTAGACTTTTGGTGTTCGACCACTGTCATTTCCATATCACAGGCTATGTGGTGATCTTATGTGAATAAAATAGGAGTAAGGTCAAGTGTTAAAGATAGAGGAGGAGCGTCAGTTGATGACGTTGTGAACCTTCATTGACTGATGTGACGGATATGTGTTACGCATGCTTAGTCACCGTCTGCCTGGTTGTGCAATGTTAGGTGAAGTGGGTTCAGGCTGTAAAATGACTAGAAGCCGTCAGAATAAGATATACAATCAGTACACGAAGTCTTTGGCTATTGGTTCGAACTATGTGGGGAAATGTAGGCGCCCGGTTGAGATCCACGTGGCAACCAAAATTGATGGTCGGAGACCTTAGGTGACATGGCTCGGAATAGATTTTGAGGCTGTTTCATCAGACACCAAATTCACTGATAGTTTATTGTTTTTTTTAGGATGTACTCATTTTTCTTTCGCCAGAAGGAAATTCGTTCAACAAGACCTTTCAGCCCGGAAAACGTATCACTACTGTACCAATAGACCATGTTTTTCATATTTTATACCTAATTATCTATTCTCAATACTCTGATAGTATCCAGTTACTCGTTACCTATTCCCATCCTAAAAAGTTCTACAAACAATCGTTTGATGATAGTTTAAAATCTCCTTTATGTGGATGTTTGTGGTAGTACTGTATTTCCCTACTGAGACTGAACGTTTATTTTAGTTCCAGACAATTTCTATAAGCATGTCAATGTTTAATCATCGACTTTCTGGTCGACGAATTGGATTTATATAATTAGCCATGTCTATCAATTGCACATTAACGTGAATATACCCCAGAAATCAGTGCTGGACTTTGGAAATATCTTATAGCTGATAGCATTATGAAGCAATAAAATCATATGACTAATTGATACAGTCCAAAGTACAGAATAAGAAGACAGAATCACCATTATCTAGGATTTTGATGGATTACCCTAAATAACTATGAGCAGAATATCATTGAAAAAAGCACCTAGATTTCACTTTTGTATTTAAGGTTCTAGACTGATCATATGATATTCTACTCTGACTAAGACAAATCAACTGTAAAGACAGAAATCCGACTTTAAAGTTATCGAATTGATTATATTCAAGTAGCAAGCAACAAAGCAATCTCGGAAAACTTGACAGTTAGATCGAATGTTTTAAAAAATACAGTCAGTAACAATATGGCAGGATTCAAAACATGATAGCCTATCATACTGAAATTTATCAAAACAGACTGGTCTGCTATCAAAGTTTGAAGCTAAGACGGCTGTGGTTCACTAGTCTAGGCACTTGAATTCCAGCTGGTTGATTAAGAGATCCGAACACTACTCCTTTTCCGCAGACCGTATGGCTGTGAAACATGGCCATTGAAAGTGAAAGATATGAGGAGGCTTCAAGTGTGTGACCACCGTTGCGTTCGCAGCATAGTCCGTATTCCGTGGTGTTACCAGGTGAGTAACGCAGAAGTCAGGAGGAGAGTTTTAGGGAGGAGAGGTAAATCATTTGACGAGGTTATGAACCTTCATTGACTGAGATGGGTTGGGATACGTGTTACGAATGCCTAGTCGCCGATTGCTTCGTCACACAATGTTGGCTGAAGTAGGTGCAGGCTAAAAAAAGGCCTGAGGTGACCAGACTAAAACATTGCATGAATGGATGAAGTGTTTGACTGTTGGTTTGAGCCATGTGAGTCGATGGAGACTAGGTGGTTGGGGTCGGCGGGACAAGAGGAACCAGTGGTTAGAGACTGACTTGAGGTGATATGGCTTCGAACCTATGTGAGTGTCGCAGATGTATACATACATTATCTTTATCTTAATGACTCTATACCGAATCTCACCATTTTGTCATTCTTCCTTTCTCTCTTTTCGTACTTTATATTTCTTTTGACTGAATTTTCTTTATCTTTTCCCTCACTACCTTTCTACTTGATGTACTGATATGAGGTGTGGCAACTTAGACCATTACTCAGTTAATGTCTGGTCCTAGGTTGATCTGGATGGATGGATGGGCCGAGATTTGGGTAACCATGTAGTATCGTTAGCCTTCAAGGTAATAAGTGTGGCTAATTACCTAATGCACACAAATGGTTGGTGAGTGAATTCCGCCTTTTCGATATTTTCCCGTAACCGTAAGAGAAACTTTTGCATCATCTTACATGAAAGCGCAACACCATTCATATAGATTGACTAATATCAACAATTCTATGCTGACTATTTTTGTCTATATTTCTTCCCACATGAATACTTCTGTAGACTGATTTTTGATTGTCACTGAAGTATAAGAATAACTGTTGAATTTATCTTCATATATTTTTTTTTTTGATAAAAAGAAAATGGTTGTAAAATGGAGTCATTCAGGTTCTTAGACACTGGATTATTGAGTTGTTGACCTCTTTGACGCATTGTTTACAGGTTTATTTTATCGAACACATACATATTTGTTACCATCAATCTATACTGTTGGCTAAATTGGCTTCCACCAATTTACGCCATCTGTGGTGCCACTATGATATCCGATCGTCGATTAAGGGTCGAATGTACTCTGCTGAAGTTCGCTGTGTTCTATTATTTGGCTGTTAAACACGGCCATGAAAGGTGGAGGACATGAGAAGGCTTCTCGTGTTTGACTGCTGTTACCTTTGTGGCACAGACTGTGTCATTGTATCATTATGTCAGGAGTAGAATCTAAGGGAGAAGAGAAAATTCAGTAGATAAGGTTATGATCTTTCATTGACTCAGGTGGTTTGGATATGTGTTAAGCATATCTAATCACCGTGTACTGAAGTCAGCATTTTTTCCTTCCTCTCTTTTAATGCATTCTATCACTTTTAATTGATTTTTTTCTTCCTTTCTTCATCTTTCGTCTTAACACTTTGTTACTTGATGTACTAATATGAGGTGTGACTGTGACGCAATAATGCATAGTCCTATGTTGATATTGATTGATTGGTTCGAATCAGTACTGTGTTCATCCTATAACTTATGCATACCAGTGGAAGTCTGAAATATTTGTATTTACTTTCGTATAATCTAGTATTCCATATAAGATTTGGTTATTTAATATACAGCGCACAGTAATACAGTGTTATTTACTTGATGACGTTTCGAGCATAAATTGTCTGGTTGAGTCCGATAACGAACGAGGCTTTAATCTACTAAATAGTAGACTGGTCGTCTGTACTCGTTCAGGGTGCGGCTTGTATTGCTTCTCTATGGACTGGTGTAGTTGTTTTCCGGCGGGTGCTGTGCCAGTTTTTAGATTTAGATCATATGAAATTGAGCTGTAACAGGTCTGTAAAGCCCTTAAATGTTCAGAACCACACGGCGCTACAGTGACGGTGCCAGCGAGTCTGGAAAACTGTCCCGAAAGGGTTGGGCACACTGTTTCACTACCGCTTAACTAGGATCAAGGCTTTCAGTTGTTCCGTGTGAACGAGGAGTTTCTGGTGAATGCAAGTCATAAGCTTGCACTGATTACGTCCCCGCCCTTCGTACACATCATCCGTCTCTAGTACCGATGAAATGGTTTAGTGAAGTCATTGAAGTGGCTTACTGCTCAACGGACTTTGAAAAGACGAACTAATTTTACCATTTAGAGGAAGTTAAAGTCGTAACAAGGTCTCCGTAGGTAAACCTGCGGAAGGATCATTATCAGATATATCTCTATATATAAATAAAAAACCAAGGTGAGATGACTGATGTGTTTACCTATGCGAAATGTGTGGCTTTGGAGGTCCATTCTCATACCGATGGTATATAAACATGGTGGGATAAAACATGCCGATAAAATCTTTGTCATTGGTATATGATTATGAGCAGTCATAATTTATGCGAGGAGGAAATGAGAGCTTATGGGCTGTCGTGGAGCCAGGTTCAAAAGATTTCTTAGAACAGAGCGCATTGGAGACGTGCTTCCATCAGGAACCCAAGGGACAAATAATAATAATAATAATTTATGCTCAAAATGTCATTGAGTGAATAATACTGTATCACTGTGCTCTATGTATCAAATAAACAAGTCTAGTGTGAAATTACATTCTACCACAGTGCCTAAGTTTTACACTTACATTCATTTGATATTGCCAGAGTTTAACGAAGTTCACTAAATACCTTCATATTCTATGATAATGATGATGAGATAATTTTTCCTTCTGTTTCACCTGTCAGCGTTCATGCTTTTCTTTGTTGTCTAATAGCCTCTCAGAATTTACTGTAACCGATTGATTTGGTCCTAAATACGCCTTTTTTATTAGCGAGAATTACTTTTTGACAAGAAATCTGGAGACTGTTTTTTGCTTACAGTTTGGTTTTCTGACTAATTTGAAATCATTCTATCCAGAGTAGTCTCTTACTCGAAACTTTTTTTTATGTGATAGTCACTATTGTTAAGGTCAATATTTGTTCAAATTTAAGGTTTGTGTGGATTCACTTATTGATTTTAGGTTGATATTCATCATGAACTGACATCAATCTAAGAAACATCAGGAACCTTGGAGCATTTTGCGGCTTTTTCTTCCTAGTATGAAAGTCCAGCAGTGTGCACCCATGACTCTTCTAGGATGTCGGAGATATCGCCGATAGAACTCCGACCCAGTGGCTCAATGCTAACATACTGGTTGCGAAGCTTGTAGGTCCTGGGCTTGATCCCTCGTGGAGTCGTGGTTGGGCACTGCTGTTGAGTTTCATACTAGGACTAGGACTGGTTGCTACACTCTCTGGTTACTTGATCACTTCCCCATCTTCTGTCAAATGAACTTCAAACAATTGAAAAGATGGGATTCAAGACTTTCTTATGTCGTTAGAAACGACGTTGTAATTCTGAAACATTTTAGAACGTATCCCAGTATTAGGAATAATATTACCTAACCGATGAGATTTTGGAGGGCAATAGACTTATTAATCGTGGAAATTATTGTAGTGTACTAGGATTTAGGACTGACTAGTTAAGTGTACTTCGGAAAAAATTTCAAGTTGATCAACAGTTCACTAGCTGAATACTAATAATTTATGCAATATTTCATGATTCACTGTACACTGTTAGTGAAAAGATATACTCGAAGGAAACTTTTGCAATATAAGTAAACTATAAACTTTGTTTCACCAATCTAGTTAGAGTACCTACTTTAAAGTAAGGTATCCTAATTAAAGTAGTGATGAAATAGGAAAGACCTCTTGACGGTGAAATCATGCAAAAAAACTAATCTGTGAAAGAATACAGCTTTACAAAAGGTTGCTGATGAAGAATTAGTTGTATATTAGTGATGGAATACGTGAGGTAATCTTACCCTACAACATTCTACTACGTGATCACTCATATACTAACTAATTAGCATAACTTCGAAATGTGTCATAGAGGAAAGAAGAAATAATTTAGAAGAAAAAATTTTCCTTTCGGAAGATACCATTTTCTAAATTTGTACAATCATATATATATATATATATATATATATATATATATATATATATATCATAAGCAACGGGGTATAATTGCATCACTAACCAAGTGCTAAAAAACCGTGATCAAGAATGTTGAGTAGTTGCGTAATAAACTTTTAGACAGTAGGAATAACGAGGAAGGCAAGGAGTTTGAGGAAGTGAAACTTGTTGCAAATATTGAGTGTCCACTTGATAGATAGACGTAAAGAAGCTGCAGAATGAGACAAGGGTCATAATGAAGGTGATAATAACAAACCAACTAATTATAGTGAAATTGAAATATGTGAAAGTGTTAAGACCATGGTAAGAGATTGAACATGCTTCTTTTGCATGTAGAGATCAGGTTTGAATTGATGAATTGCTAGTACTTCCGCTGTGTACAACTGTGGATGGCATACTCCTTTAGAACAATTCCATTTGATGGACAGATGACACTGAAGAAGGATTCTGGTCGAGCTTTATGTCCAAAGTTGACCGAATGTTCAAGAATTGAACTGTTAATTGATTTAAATTCTCCCTTCGACAACCATGCAGGATAGTGCTCCGAGATACATTGGATACGATTATACAACTGTAGACAATGATATCGTCGAAAAAGAAAATTTTCTGCGCTGAATTATCTCTTCTTTTCGAAATGTGTTGTCCTTCAATACATTTTTTCAATCCTTAATAACTAATTAATGTACTACCCCCCCCTCCCCAGTCTTTCATTTGTGAACAAATACATCTTTAACTACCGAATACCCTTCATCCCAATCGTAAGCTTCAAATTCGCTGTTTTCTATACATTCTCATCATTTTACTAGAGCTGTTTTCGCTTACTATTCAACTTATTTTTCAATGATGGGCTTCTTGCAGCGTTCCTTCTTACACTTTCTCTCTTTCTATGCAATAATTTTTCTTGAATAAGTGTGAGCATACTGATAGATTCATTTTTGAAATATATTTTTTTAAAGAAAAAGACTGATTGGGCGAAGAAATATATTTCTTTTCAATTAGGTCTTCATCTTGGGCTGCGCACTAATATATAGTTTTACAATTTAGTCAAATTACCAATCATGTGGTGATATTTTAGAAATAAAGATGTAAATAATCAGTAGCGTTACAAGAATTGGAAATATGAAGCAGGTTATTCTTAGGTAAAGTGAGTGATTTTTGATGAGTGTTCAGTCATTCACAACCGATTACGTAATTTTAAGAAAATAAATGAATACTGATGAAAACAAGAAGGGGAAAATGTGTACAAAGCAATCCTAGAAGTTACATCATGTTGATGGCCACGGTAATGAATGTGGTCGAACAAACTTCTTTTTAGCTGATGCTGAGTTTTCAATACTTCAGCCAAAAGGAAATGTAGAGGCTGTTGGTTTTATCATGTTCTCCTTTTGTTGTTGCGCATGGTTACAGTTTCAGTGGGTGCGTTTTTGTGCCAAGTTGTAGTAGACTTCAGTCAGTCTCCACTTCTTTGTCATCAATATACATGAGCGAATTATGCTTAGACATTATTTTCATTCTCCTTAATATTTGGTGCCGTTTTGTACTTCATTTGTTCAACTGAGATATTCCGGTTCTATCTGGAGGTTTATGGAGTTTTATTAAATGATTTTAGGTTTAGGATTCATCAAGAACTGACATCAGTTGGGGGAATATTGGAAACCTGGAAGCACTGGACAGTTGTTTCTTTTTAGTATGAAACTTCGGCAGTGCGCACCATGACCCTGCCAGAGATCGAACCCAGGACCTTCAGGTTCTGTGGTTAGCACGTTACCACTAAGCTACTGGGTCGGAATTCGATGGTCCACATCTCCTACTTTTTTCAGTTCACGATATAGCCTGACCTATATACAATGTTGTCGTTGAGTAACTGTCCTCGTATTCGACTTGGTTGACTTCATTGGTCACGGCTTCTCATTGGAACGTGGTCTACCACCTCTCGAAGCTAGTCACCAATGAGCGCTAGAATAATTCTATACAAAGGTTTGTGGAGGTTTATTAATTGATTTTAGGTTGGAATTCATTGTAGACTTACATCACTTGGGGGAACATTGGAAACGTGGGAGCACTGGATAGCTGTTTCATCCTTGTATGGCACTTCTCAGCAGTGCGCACCCATAACCTCGGAGGTATTTTGGGTTGCTTTGTTTGTCATCTGATTAAGTAAAGTTTGCTTTATGCTACATCAAAATATTACGTTACAAAGATTTGTCCTAATTTCTCAAATATTACTTAAGAAATCTGTTCTCACATGTATACGATGTGAACTACAGTTGGTTAGATATGAGGATGTATTTTTGATTTGTAGAGGGTTTACAGGAAGTCATCTAGCTTCAACAAGCATTCTAATCTTATTTGTTTACGGTATATTTGTTTTTAACCATTACTAGTGCTTCCTCCTGTTTTATCTTAATATATCTCTTATCCACAGGTTTCCACATATCAGATGTCCGTTCTCATGCTGTACAATTCATCACTTGTTTACTCAGTGTCAGCTATTCAACTGCAGACTGGTATTGAAGAAGCAACACTGTTGCAAATCCTACAAATTCTTCTTAAGGCTAAAGTGTTGAAAATTGTTTCGGATCCCAATTCTGAAGTGGAACCAAGTCAACCCTTAACTTCCTCGAATGATGATACCAATGATTCGCATTTATCGCCTGATACCCATTTGGCACTATATACAGATTATAAGAAGTTAGTTTTAATTTTCCATGGATTGATTATTACATATAAGCATGAAAAACTTGATGCAACAGGACACCAATAAATACCTTACGGAAAGAGATGGCACGCGTAAATGACGCACTTACTTTCGGTATATTCGTGTTGGATGTTATGTGGCATTAAAACAGCAACTCGATAACACTTAGTTTGAACCATGCAAGCTGAAAATCACAACACTAACAAATTTATGAGTAAGATTTCTAAAATAAACTTACAAAGTAGTGTAAGCTACACACAAATTAATGAACAATAGCCGTACCTGTAACAGTATAGCCAAAATATGTGAAATCTTGCATAGGAGACCCCATTTCTTTTCTTTTGTGAATCATGTGAGAACAGTGATACTACAGTTATTCAAAAAGAAATAAATGGTTTTTGACGGTGATCACTCTCCTGGCATATAACGCAATGAATTAATGATAAAAGCCAACATTTCTTTCGTTTATGATGATCAGAATTTGATTCTACATTATTTTTTTCCAGTCACTCAGCCAGTATCACATGAAACATGACATTATTGTGTAACAGCCCAACTTTACATACAGATCAACGCATCAAGGTGAAAGGCATCAACCTGAAAATTGTAGAAATAAGTAAGAAAGTCGTATCAAGAGAGCAAGGAGGAATAAAGCATTAATGAAGCGTTTTATGATGATTAAGATAATGTGTCAGTGCATCTGCCTCACCCAACTGATAGCTGCTACTTTGACTTGGTGGTCGGACTTGCATATCACAATGACCCAACGAGCTATGCTGGTGGGACGCTTGTTCCCTCGAGGTCCTTCCGTGCCAGAAAGGTTTGTTGGATAGTGGTAAGACGAAAAGCTGTTGTAATGTGAGGTGTTGTGGTAGTGTCTGACTGTAAAAAGAGTCCTTAGCAAGTATATGACGCCATTCAAACCTCTGCACTTGAACTCATACAGCCTCGTAGGGGCTTAGGCAGGGTTTTCATGTAAATTGACGACAACTAATCGTGTCCACCGGGGATGCCTACTGTCACTGTTCTAATTTAATTTCGTTATAGACGTACTAATGGATATAACCTTAAGAACGTCTGACTTCATAAGGATTGACCTACTCCTTCATGGCCATCTGGTTGACTTGGAGTACGCAAAGGATATTGTCGTGCTAAGTGAAGACACTGACAAAACAAAGGTTCTTCTGGACGTGTTGAGTAGAGCTCTGGGTATGTTTGTCAGGCGTTTCACTGCCACCTGTTAAGTGCAAGGTGATACACCAGCACTAGTTTTCAGCCACTCAGTTTATTGTAACGGAGTAAAGTGGTGGGATGTGTTGACCACTTCACCTCCTTGGGGAGTTGCATCTGCCGAAACGATCTGGTTGCCGACGGAATCTCAGCTCGAATATAGCAGCTTGTTTGACACTTGCCGACTTGCGAGATATTTGACAATCAAGTGAAGAACGAGTCTAGTGCTCTACAGTCGATTCTGTCGTGTTATGCGGTTGTGAGACATGGTTGTCGAAAGTAGAAGCCATGATGGGATTACAGAGTTTTGATCACAGATGCCTTGATAGGATTGGTGGCATTTGGTGGGATCGCCGCTGTGTACGATCAATATTGAAGTGAGGCGAATGGGTGTAGGCGAGTGGATTGGTGTGGTGGTGATTTTTCATGGACTGAGATGACTTGGACATGTGTTTGACATGCGGATTCACTGCCTACCTCAACGTGCCATGTTATGTGAAGTTGTATTATGTTGGAAGAGTGTTCATGGTGGATAGACTAAGCGGTGTCACTAGTCGATGAAGTCTTTTACTGTTGGTTTGAGTTATTTTGGGTTGATGTAGACTTAGTGTAGTGGTTTGGGTCTTGGAGACGATAGTAATCAGTGTTTGAGGACTGTTGTTGATCTGGGTGGAAATCAGTGATAGTGAGGCGGATGTATTCATTTATTGATATGTTCTGAAGCTTGAGTATTCCGAACAACCTTTATCTTCAGATGTTTTATTCTTTCTTGTGACTTCTACGGTGATATCATTTTTTTTTCCAGTCACCTGTTTCTTTTGTAGTACTGTGAAGTGTGGCAACTTGTGCCGATTTACCTGTATGTAATGTTTTATGTTGATTTCTTCTGTTCATCTGTCTCCATTCGCCCCACAGATCGATTTTAATGGAACGCTTACATTTCGTTACACGACTCAGATCATCAGCCAAAGACTTCATGCACTGACTGCATTTTTTAGTCTGGCCACCCTAACCTTTCTTCAACCTGAACTTACTTCAGGTAATATTTCGCGACGCAGCACGCGATGCCTGGAACTGCTTGACACAGTTTCCATTTCCGTTAGTCGTTGAGTGTTCACAGCCTCATCGATTGACTTTTTCCTCCTACCTGAAACTCTACACCTGAATTCTACGTTTATTCAGGTAGTGTTACTGCAGCACACTGCGTATGCTACAAAGGCGGCAGCGATCGGACACCTGCCACCTCATATTCTCTCATTTTAATGACAGTACTCTACGGTCAAGTAGTGGAACATAGCGAACTGCAGCGCGGTACACTTTACCCTTAATAAATACTTGGATACTATAGCCGCGCTTTTATTGGCGTCGTTGGACGAAAGCTAATCGAGGTGTTTGTATCCGTGCGGAAATTTTGTCGGTAACTGAACCTCCAGAACTGATCCGACTTACCCTGTGGGTGAGGTAGTCAACGCGCTGAATCAACTGACTCCTTACTGTTAGACGACGATCAGTCCTCTAGTAGCAATTTGCATTCGGTAGTGGGAACTGTATTCTGGTTTTTTACCAATTTTCGGTTGGGGTTTTTAGAGGACTCTGCATCTTGTATGTGTCTCCACCTAACAGGACGTCATCTTCGTATTCTGGACCGACTTAGGCGTCTCCTGAAACTAGACTAGTTCCGGTGAATTTGGATGAGATAACAGTTTTGATACGCATGTGCATAGATAGCAAAAGTAACTAAGAATGGAGAGAGTGAAAATCGCTAAACATACACAGCTCACTTGATACTTCATCATATGATATAGTACTCACGAGTGTTCAAATACAGCGCCTCCAACACATTGATGTAGATACTGGTTACGTTTTTCAGTGAGGTACGCTGTCTATCCGGAACTGAATACAGTCTCGAGGTCACGAAATACAAATGGTCTCAGATGTTACTGTGTACGAGAAACTAGCGATAGTTGAATATTATTAACAAATTTAACTAAAACTAAGCAATTTACCTATGCTTAATTTGATTATTGTATTGTTTTTTTTCTTTGTCGCACTTTTTTTTCCTGCAAATGCATAAATAAAAATTGTAGTAAACGTGTTCGAGTATATTTAAATATCCCCCTGAAAAGTGAAACAAAACAAGAGATTGAACAGACTTTGGGCAATGTAGAATCCGATCGAAAGCTTATTGTTCAAGTAAGTTGATATTATACTTTTTTGATCATGTTACTGTAATTGGGTATCGTATATTCAGTGCTATTCACAGGTTGATAGAGATAATTCTTTTATAGTTTTGGTAAGCTCAAGCCATGTCATTTATTATTCACTTACCTACTTACTACTGTTCAGTCCAGTTAGCATTAATTAACGGTTACTATCAAAATTATATTTCATGTAACAAAACATTAAATATATCTCAATTCGATGGTAATGATGGATAGTGGCTAGCAGTGAAATCTAGTACACCCCTTCGGCCCTGGGTTCGAGCCCTAGAGAAAGGAGTATCACTCACTAGGAGGCAGATGACGAGTCCCGAATAACATGAAACGCCTCCTAGATTCCACTGTTGGCCACTATCAGTCATTACTGTCAAACTGAAATTACAGGCAATATTGAGGCTTATGCCAACAGAGACCAATCCATTCTGTCCAGTCCACGATGAGGAATTACGAGCTATAACACCAAATATTTTTCGCTGTTATATATCACAACATTTCCATCTCTCTCTCTCCGCATAAATTTCTGTTTATATGAGTTGTTATGCAATGGATAACCGTGACTATCGTTTCGTTTTGTATTTTCGATACTACTTTACTTTTATTAAATATAGGCTTGTATAGTACGGATTATGAAGACTAGAAAGGTGATGAAACATCATCAATTGATCTCTGAAGTTGTAACACAGTTAACTCCTCGGTTCAAACCGACAGTGTTGTTAATCAAAGTGAGTTGGGAGTAGCTTGTTTTTAAAATCCTTTTTTTCATGAAAACATTTCGTTATCTATCCAAGTATGTAGAAAACAAGGTATCATACAGTGAGGATAATTAATTCTAGTTGATTAAAACCGAATACTAACGAGCGCAACTCATATTTAAGCATTATTATCTTCCGTTCTCAGGAGAATGGTCAGTCGTACTGGTTTCTGTGGTTGCTAGGATTTGATGAATTTGTTGTCTGATGGCTAATCTTAACATTTTGGTGATAAAGTCGATATCATACATGAATGATATGTCATTCGAGTAGGCTGTCACCTTTCCATACACCGTTACTGATTGTTTCCAAAAATATTTGAATTGATATGTACTCAATTAGAAGTGTCAGGAACAGACATATTTTTTCTACCTGATCGTAATAGTACTCGCCTGATATCGCTAATATATGACAGTTTTGCGGCTTAGTAAGTACACATCTTTAGGCAACTCTGTTATCACTTTCGCTGTTTGCAGTTGTCTTAACTATGGAATTCTGCCGATTTTAGTCTTAACATTGATCTTACGCGTGGTTGGCCCGATCTGGTGTACTCAATTCACCCATGCTATAGATAGCGTCATCCCGCCCTCCCTACGGCGTACAAAGGGACACAAAGTCTACTGCTTATTATCCACACATTTTAGACGATCTAATCCATCTGTATTTACAACCAAATAAGCCGATCACAACGTACTATAATTTGTTAAGATGAAACAACTATTTTCAAGCACAATAGTGGATTTCACCCAACATACAATTATTTCCGAACTATAAGTCTAACATAAATTGATGAGAATTCAATCGAAAGCTGTTTAACCGAACTATACAATAATGTTACTAATTAACTCATAAGTAGATTGACTTTAATGATTCACGTTTTCCACTTTTTGGTTGATGTAACAGATTTCGTTTGAGATGGAGCATAAGGATTGCCAGATTTCCCAATAAACATATCACACAATCCATCTGCGATTGTTTTCTAAATTCTATCAGCTCACCATAATTTGATAATCATTCAGTATCTTGAAGCTGCACTTGGTTTTGACTTTAGAGGTCAATATTTTTCATGAAAATTTAAACAGCTTAACCTTGAAGTAAGGCAATGATGAGCAGTAGATTGTGAATTAAATTATATGAAGCCAGTTTTCATGAAGAAATAAAATCAGCTTGAAAACTATGGGTCACTGTTGTCTTAAATCGGCATATGAACGAGAATAATCGATATGGCTGTACTCATATATGAGCTCCTTAGCCTGAATAAGTGCGATGCACTAATTCAGGTTGCGTCATCATATTAAATTTTTATACTTATCATCTTAAAGATATTCTCCATGAATTTTGAAGAAACCTTTGTCACCATTCATTATTAATTATTTAACTAATACATACATTATTGTTTCAGCGATGTATTACCGCTCTTATTGAACGAGAGTATCTCAAACGTGATAGCAATGAACGGGATGCATATGAATACCTGGCCTAACTTTCATACACATATTCACTAATACTGTTACTGCTTCAACTTCGTCGTTTATGTGTTTTCTTTTATAAATCACTTTCATTCACAGTTTTCAATGTGATTGTTTTTCTTAGTCCTAATCAAAGTATAATAATATAATTCATGCAATCATTTCGTATACATTCTATTACGAAATAATTAAGTTGAATAAGTTTACATTCATTAAAACTTGTCTGGCGTAGTATTGATTCTTAAGCTTAATGCATTAAATTCTTCCACCTTATTTCTGATAGTTTTTCCCCGCATTACTGACTAGCAATGTCATTTTTAAAAAAGTGTTTTTGCTTGGTTTTAAATTCCATCTATCATCATTTGTTTTATTCATTTCACCACTTGTTTAAAGGTGATATTCTGTTCAAGTGGTAATGGTTGTTTTTGAAACAAGTCAGAAAACAATTTTTTACAGGAGAAATGATCTACTCTATGCTTATTAAGTACAATGACAATTATTGTAAATATTTTTTATGATGTTGTGACTTCTTATTGGTCTAGACAGTTGACTTTCAAATAGTGGGTCGTGAGTTCGAACCCCACTCCATCTAATGAAGTTTGACCATTCATGTCATATCATCAGCCCTCACACACTAGGTATGTCTCATTACCCAGCACACATGGGTACTGAGTTAAATTTATTTTCATTTATGTAAATACTACATGCTTTCACTGTAAGTAAATTATAACATGAATATAGTTTCTTAACTATAATCCCAAAGATTTTGTGTTTGCTGCAAAGAGCATAGTTTTTCACAGTAGTATTGTGGAGTGTATTGACTGAGATGAGGCTGATTGGATTAAGTATTCGATTTTCAACCGGTCGATCCAAGGTTCAAATGTCACTCCATTTGCTTCTACCTTGACAATCGATTGTGGCAACCAACTAGCTGCTAGTAGTTTTTCATCTAGCCTGTAGTTACATTGTTTTAGAGGGGTTTTATCGACTAGAAGAGTGTGTATTTTCTTCTCATCTAGTAAAAGAATCTGAAATGGAAAATTGAAATGCGAGCTGACGACTCAGTAAGCCCAAAGAATGTATCTACGTTTAATGATGAAAGACTATTGACAAACGCTAATAATTTACAACGAGGGAATAGGGCAGTCTAGATATCGCAACCGAAAATTGTATGATTAAAGTTTCGAATGCGTTACACCGAGCAGTATCGTAATCCTTTCGATGGTGAATGTAGCTCATAGTCTGTACCAGGTTGACTTAAATTTTTATTAGTGTATTATTCACTGGGAAATAAATTGTCTTTTTAAGTTTAAAATCACTTTTAACTATTTCCAACTTTAGTCACACAGATATGCACAGCTTTCTAGTTAATGTCAAGGTGGTATTCATCACAGACTAACATCATTTGGAGAACTACCGAAAAACTGGGAGCACTCGATAATTGTTTCGTCCTAGTATGGGACTCACTTCTCAGGACCCATAACCACCTTTTCCCCCAGAGAAGTATAGTTAGTCAAAGAACGACTGAAATAACCAAAGGGAAACAAAAGTTCAATGCATTTGTTTACAGTCAATTGTTTTGATAAGCCTTTACAATAGAAAATCATTCATTACTGTGAAATGGATTTACTGCATCCGTTTGAGCTGAATATCTCGTGAATGCGCTACTATTATATACTGACTGTTGATTTTCCTCACCACAAGTGTAGTTCTCATCAGAATCAACTGGGAAAAGCGTTTAAAGGTAGAAAATTCCATTTTCTCCAAGTACAGGCTCTCAGGTCTGATCGAAACTGATGAAACTGGTCAGGCAGGGGTCAAGAAACATGGGAATAGAAGGTCAGTTGCTCCACTTTCATCAGGCAAAATGCCAATTTTCTAAAGTCAAGTAGCAAGTGTATGCTCGTGGTTTCTATAATCCATCACTGAAGTAGGCTTTTAGGTAAATAAATGAAAAACGACGAAGTGTTAGTATAGAACTTTGGTAGATTGTAATTCCACACTGGATTAGTTTGTTTCATGTAACAATCATATCAACGTCCTTGATGATGTGTGATCGTCGTGTCAAATGAACTTATCTAGTTGCTGTTCGAAATCGAAATGCAATCAGCGACCTTGTGCATACTCATGCAGTAGTTAGTCAGCAACACCTATTGTGTGACGGCTAACGATACTACCTGGCCGCCTAAACCTCAGTAAGTAAAGCGGTGTTCGAACCTGTGACTCATTAGTTGAAAGTCATCTCTCTAAACCAAACACGTGCAGGATTCAGCTGAGAACAAGAAGTAGAATGTGATACTTCGCATATACTTCAGCCGATAGACAAGTCAGTTGCAGCTGATTCCAATGAGACGATGAATGGGACATCGAGAGACCTAGATGAACCTCAGAAGTTATATTTCTATTGTGGGGAAGAAAGTATTAAGAAGCGGTCGAAATCAATGTTTAAGATCATCTGCAACTAAGTTTCACATTTCATGAGCTTCGATTTTCTGTCCTCGATGTTCTGCAGTCAGGACAGGTCTGGCATTTTTATGGACCAGTCTTTTCAAGCATAGTGAAGTTGATCAAAACTACATATATATATATATATATATATATATATATATATATATATTCTACTTAGGTTGACATTTCACGCCGAGTTGAGTGGTGCCTGGTTATGCGTAACAGTTGTGAGGGTTCACATTCTCATCCATGAAATCCCCTAGCGGCCCTCACATAACTTTGACATTATTCACACAATGAGCCAATCAAATCTGAGCAATACTATAGAGACATGTATGCTCAAAAACCAGTAATCTATTCATATTTTCTTCTTTCAACCGCCATGCCTCAGTTGTATGATAGGACGGAGTGGACTGCAACGGAGTAAACTCATTTTAAAGGCAGTCAAATATCTCACCAAAGATGGCACAAGTTTGCAAATACCGAAAGAGCCTTTTATATCTAAGTTGGGATTTCGCCGACCGTTCGTGATCATACACCTCATCAAGTGCGTAAAGTGGTCGAAATATTCCAACACTCCATTCCATATCATTAGGCTGAGAGTGGTTGCACGCCAGTTTTGGAGGATCGTCTTACGTTTTACAGGTGTCACGGAAACGTATGTCGAAGATATTCAGATTTCTCCTGCAGGTTTATGGAAGACTGCATTTGTCATCATCTTCACCTAACAGAACAATATGATTTCCGTACTCTGTCAGCAAGATGCACTTCAGGAGGTAGGTCAATCCCCATGAAGTCAGAGATACCCAAGTTTATGTCCCTTGATGCCTCTGTATCTTAGAAAATAGTGACATCGGTCATCTGTGGCTGACTTCGATCTCCATCTAGGTGTTAGACATTTATAGACTTCAGAATCTTGGACATGGTTTTAATTTAACTGTCACAAGAAAATGTCTCGTTTCTGAGGCTAGAATAATCGGTGGAACTGATCAGTTTGACGGAATTACTTCTGATCCACACACCACCCAGTACATTTTCTAATCAGATTTCTACCTGTATTCTTGAAAATCCATGGTGGCCAACCGTTTCTTGTTTTCTGGGATCGTTTTCGATTTGAAACTGCATTCTTAAATTGGAAAGAGGTTGAGGGGTCGGTGTCTACGTCCCATTCATTTTCTGATTTGATGCGGGGCAACAGGCGTTTACGTATGTCTGTTGAACTGTGCTTCAAAGTGTTCCCTCCAACGTTCTAACCGTCTACTTTAAAGAAATTATCAGCATCTCATCCTTTTCGGTGATAATTTCACTCACTAACGTCTTCCTCTTGCCAGTATCTTTAATAAGAATAATTAATTTCCTGTAGTTACCTAACGCTGATGCCTTCTCCATATTTCTTGCTCCCACCACCAACCACTGCTCGCGATCATTGCAAAGACTCTTGGTCAATTTACGCTTAAGTTGCTTTGGCTCTTCATTGTGGTCAGAGCCAGTTGTAATTAGTCTTCCTATAACAATCAGTTCGTATGATGTTTGCTAACCTCCTTGTGTAGGTTACCTGTTGTCTTTACCACTCTTTCTACACCAGACTTAATATCACGCTAGGTTTCCTCAAGATGAAGGTTGCTGTCACGTTCAGATGGTTGCTTAGCTGTCTGTTCTCGAAATGTGTACTTAACGTTCCAATCGACTATAGACGGGTTCTACTATTGACCGTTTCATTTGACCAATAAGGCGCAGATATAGATATGTCCGTACTATCCTGAGATCGGAATCAAAACTGGTACTCCAAAATGAGTATCAATTCTCTAAAGTTTCACGATCCTTCCCAGCTTTTACAGATCCACTCAGTTGGACAGCACAGACGACTGTTGACTGGTATTCAGTCAGGATGTGCGCTTTTGACTCTAGAACTAACTGCTATGTCTACACCAACGAGTCCACAACATCTAGCCACTGAATCTCTGGATACTTGTAAGGTGAATTTCAAACAAACATGCGTCTAGTGCATTACCAAACTCAGTTCTTGTATACGTGTCTCAGGAACGCATCATACATCCATGACTTAGGGTCCCAGAGTTATGGCAAGAGACGCCCCTTGTTTGACTTGGCGTAGGGTTCAGACGTTGAAGGCTTCAATGTGACATTGCTTGCTGAGTTTTAAGAATAATGTTCCTCTGTTTTAGATCGTTGGCAATATCAGGGTGAGGGGTTGAGAATGTTGGAGTATTACTCTGGATATCAAGAAGTGAAGATGAAAGAGCGTAGGTTATGTTTGTTTGGACTTTGTATACTACTGAAGGCATCTGGGGGATTGATACCTTACGGTTGTTCATACTTTGGGAGTTGTTTCTGCAGTATATCTGTAAGAGATAAAGAAACAGTTTCTGGTGATCGTAGTGCCTATGGATACATACTTGAGACCTGTAGCACATAGGACTTGCAAAATTGGTGGATGGAGATTTGGTTATTCCATCGCCGGAGAGCAAAAACCCATGCCTCTGGAACCGAAAGGGATGGGCTATTTCTAGGGTCAACCTTTCCCGGCCAACTCTTCTCCAAGAGCATGGGACTTCTGATCGACTGTGGGAAGCACCTTACTGCTGTCACACCCATCTAGTCAGCAGTAAGAGTTCCCTGTTGAACACCCGCTCTAGAGTAGCAATTTTTACTAAAACGATAATCGCTTTATGTCTTACTACTACCTAACTGATTTTTCTGACGTAGGACCTCAAGGGAAAAACCCTCCCATCTAGTGTAGCTTGTTGTGATATACAAACTAGACCACCAGGTCAATACCAGCAGCTTTCGGTCGGGAGTAGGAGTGAAGCACTTAGCTTGCTAAAATCAATACAGAATGCAACGAATTCAATATAAGGTGCATGAAAAGACTAATAACAATCACAATTTCCTGCTATAAGGGTGGACGAAGAATTTTCATACTCTTTATTTTGGATTGATGCGATAAATCTTTCCTGCAGAGTGAAAGCCCATTCTAATTTTTTCTGTCTATTGCATAATATGCTACATTTAAGTCTTTTAAGTGGGTTGTATGCAACACGCACCTACCGTTTATATTTGGAGGTTACCAAGTGACGAGTTTGACAGGACCTATCTGGATAAAAGCGCAATTGAACGAATTCGAAAAACAAAGCAGATTGTGTTGGTGCATCGCAGTATTGTGTTACTTAGGTCATTCGTCGTACCGTAAACTGGTTCGATAGACCACGATCAGTGCTGAGCATCAAGGAATGATGAATATAGTCTGGAAACGTGGCTTAGACGTTCGACTTCGGGGCAGTACCTTTAGTAT